GCTCCGCCTTGCTTGTTGATGTAAAACATTGCCGTGGTGTTGTCGGTGAGAACCAACACGCAACGGCCCTGTAGGAAGTTGAGGAATGCCTGGCAAGCTAGGCGCACCGCCATCAGCTCTCGGACGTTGATATGTAGGGCTAGTTGGGCCACGGACCACAGGCCCTGGGTATGGTGCTCCCCGAGGTGAGCGCCCCATCCTAGAGATGAAGCGTCCGTGACTAGGTGGAGGGAGGGCTGTGGGCGTGGAAGGGCACTCCTGCACAGACCGCCGTGCGATCCATCCACCAGGTGAGGGAGGCCAAGACTGAGGCCGGAACCGTGACCACCATGTTCAGGTCGTCTCGATGAGGACGGTAAATCGATGACACCCAAGCCTGCAGTGGGCGAAATCGTAGCCTGGCGTGCCTGGTTACGTAGGTGCACGAGGCCATGTGGCCCAAGAGAGCAAGGCATGTTTTTATGGTGGTGATTGGAAAAGCCGTGAGTCCTTGAATGGCGCTTGAGATGGTATGAAAGCAGCTGTCTGGCAGGATGGCTCGGGCACGTCTGGAGTCCAGAACTGCTCCAATGAACTCTATTCTCTGAGTTGGTGCTAGAGTGGACTTCTCTCTGTTGAGTAGAATGCCCAGCTCGTGGAAAGTATGTGTCACTATGTGGACATGAGCCTGAACTTGGTCCCTGGTGCGGCCGCGTACCAACCAGTCGTCCAAATACGGGAACAGCTGAATCCCTTGTCGACGAAGGAAGGCCGCGACGACTGCCAGGCACTTTGTGAACACTCTGGGAGCCGAGGACAAGCCGAAGGGAAGGACTGCAAATTGGTAGTGCACCCTGTTTACTACAAATCGCAGGAAGCTCCTGTGAGGCGGATAAATCGCTATGTGGAAATAAGCGTCCTTCATGTCGAGGGCGGCGAACCAGTCTCCAGGATCCAGTGAAGGGATGATGGTCCCCAATGATACCATGCGGAACTTCAACTTTACTATGAATTTGTTGAGTCCGCGCAAGTCTAAGATGGGCCGCAGACCCCCTTTTGACTTGGGTATCAGGAAGTAGCGGGAGTAAAACCCCCTGCCCCTTAGCTCCGAAGGAACCTCCTCTATGGCCCCCATAGCGAGGAGCCCAAAAACCTCCTGTGTAAGGAGTTGCTCGTGAGAAGGGTCCCTGAAGAGGGACGGGGAGGGGGAGTGGG